TTGTTGAAGCAACTGAACTAAAGTTCGGGGAAGTGCTACGGTCCTTGAGATTGCAACGTCTACCAAAACTGAGTAGTATCAACAAAAGTTGCAGGGACATGCCACTTTTCTTTGAACAGGTATGTCATTAAATTGTTTAATTTTTTTTAATTCTCCAAGCCATCTTTATTATTTCTTTGAGTCGAAGAATAACTGAAAAATAGTGATTGAGTTGCACTTGGGCCGAAAGCTCAAGTGACATCAGACTACATATATTACTTTCTCTTTTTCTTCAACCCAGTGACATTAGACTACATATAAATACATTTTCTTTTCCTAAGATAACTGTTCGAATTCAAACTTTGTAAATTTGTTAAAAAAAAAAAAAATAGTAATTGAATTTTAACTTGCTAGGTCTCACGTCCTGAGTTAAGGATATACCACTACCATCGATGGATAGTTAATTATTACAGGGTATAATATTTTTCATTTTTAAAATTATTTTTTTGGGTAACATTCTTAAAATTAATTAAATAAATGCTAAACATTTAATTTGTCTTATTAAATGATTAAATGGGCTAAGATATATTTAATACAACCTCTCAAGTCTCAACAGCAGGCTCATGTTATACTCTGCTTTGATTCATTTACTGTCATTTTTTTCAATAAAAGAATGGTTCAATTTACTTATTAATTTTAATTTTAATTTTTAATATGATATTAAAGTTTTCTCAAAAACAAGTCTTTTTAATTCTCAATTTTGTCCTTATTAATGATTGCTTTATTCTTAAAGAATACATTTAAACTTCTCAAATACTTTTATTATTTAGGGTAAATATAAAATTGACTAATAATAAGTGCATTTTTATAATTTATATAATGATCATATAAAACAAAAATGTGACAAGTAAAATAAACTAGAGATGGTATTTGATATTGAATAATAATAATTCTTGACACACAATTTTAGGACAATTTTAGGACTAATATTTCAACCAATAATCATGTTGGGTTATATGGAACTCACAATATAATCAAGGAAAATAATTAGTATACTTTGATTTGATGTGTTTTTTTTTTTGATAGTTGTCTAGTTAAATTATTAAAATATAATAGAATATAATTAATTTAGTTGGTTTTTACATGTTTTTTTATATATATTATTAAGTTTGTTTTTAATTTCATACTAAAAAATAATAATTTTTTTAACTAACATGTGTAATGTGTTGAAATGAATAGT